CCACGCTGGGGTCTCAAACTCCGCACGCTAGCCCCTGGAGAAGACCCTCTGTGTGGAGCCCCCTCTCGGCTGAGCAAAGGTCTTCTTAGCTAAGCTCCAAGTTCAAGACACAAGTTTGGAACAACAGGCCTGGGTGGAAATGAAACCCACCTAGCAACCGGGAGAGCCTAACACAAATCACCTAGAAGCTGCCAAGGGCTGGTCTGAGACAACCTGGACGCATGCTACGGTCGCCTCCTTTGCGGACTGAGGGCAGCGCTGGGTCCCGTGGACTCTTGATCCCCAGCATTTAGCTCAGTTCCGTTAAACCACAACTACACGGTCCTCAGCCTCGAAGGATGCTCTGGGGTGACAGCAATTCCAACGCTGCTTCTCTCTCGGGAGGGAACGAGTCCCTCAGCCCGTCCTCCATCGGGAAGCCCAAGCAGTGCTTGCGACCCGGGTCACCCAAGGCACGATGACCCCACTACACAGCGGAGGCGGCTCCCTGGATGTGGCTGTAAGGCCCTCTTAGCGAACCATCCCGCCTTACTTCAACAACAAGTAAGCGGCCTGGAACTCTTGGCAGACTCTCAGCGCACCAACCACAGCCACTGGGGAGGCCAGCAGGGAGGCCGGCTGCTCCGACGCACCATCCTTTCTGTGAAATACCCAGGCGGTCGCCACAGTGGGGCTGCATTAGGCCATTTCTGGGCCCATAAGGAGACAGGAGGCCTCCACTGCTCCATTCACCTTCCTCCTTCCACCCTCTCCATCCCCACGAGTCCAGTGAGCATCCGGCAGCTCTCAGGGCCGTCAGCCCCGCCAGATGCCCACTGACACCCGTATGTCCCCCTCCCTCTGGCCCTTATTGTTTCTTTCTCCAGTAAACAGACAATGAGTCTGTGGGGAACGCCAAGTTCTAATTCATCTCCAAGAAGCCGGCAGCCTAGTCGAGTAGATAAGAAACCAGACCAAGTGGGACAGAGGAGCTGGCAGCAATCACAGAGTGCCCTTCCCTTCCTTCAGGAGACGTGGGATGTGCCCAACCCCCACCCGTCCTGTACAAAGACACAGGAATGAACTGCCAGGGCTCCAGGTCACCCACCCCTGGACACCCATCCTGGCCTGTCACTCAGCTGCATGACCGTGACTATCCCACACAACCTCAGGCGCTATCACCTGCAACATGAGCGCCCTCCTGAGGACAGGTGTGGGAGGACTCGGCCTGTCCCACACAACCTCACGTGCTATCACCTGCAACATGAGCGCTCCTGCCCTCCTGAGGACAGGTGTGGGAGGACTCGGCCTGTTGTGGGTGGCGGCCTGCCCTGCTTTCTCAGGCTGACCAAGTGAAGGAGATGGGAGGGAACAGGCACCAGGGCCACAGACGGCTCACGGAGACACAGGCCCTGCCTTTAGGGTGCATCCTGTTGTCCACTCAAGACTGCAGAGGCATTTCAGAGATCTCACCGGTCAGACAGGCCCAAGTGTAGCCCCAGGCCCCGGTGTCTCATCTTCCATCACAAACCCAGCAACCATCACTGCCAGGCAGATCTTCAGGAACTCAGCAAGGTTTTGTTCTGCAAAGTACTTAGAAGTGACAGGCTTAAGCCAAATCTCCACAAACACTAGAATGACATTTGGTCACACCAAACAGTACACCTTTTGTTTGTTAAGCCACCTTCTTATAAGGAAAAACATTTATTTTCCCAACCTTAAAAATGCCAGTCAAGAGCTAAAGTTCAATCCAAATTTTTGAGGAAAACAAACGTGCCCTAAGCTGTGGGGAACAGGCCTCTAAGAGCGGCCCTGGCCTGTCCTGCTCTTTCCAGCTGGAGGCTCCTGGGGAGCAGAGCCCACACCTAACCATCCTCCCCAGCAGCTACAGGCGTGGAGAACGCAGGGCGTGGCGGGTGCCAGCCAGGGGGACCGGTGGGAGGAGGTGGCTGGACACTCTAGGTCGAAGTGGGGCCCAAGCCATGGCCTGTGTGCCCCCAGGGGATCAGCAGGATGGCCTAAGTCACAGGTGACTGATCAGGGCCACAGGTGACTGATCTGAGTCAGGTCAACAGAGACATAAGAAAACATGAGAATGTTGACAACGGGAATGATGACTGCATGCGGCCAGACCCCTGCACTGCCACGGGCAGTGGGCGCCCTATCCCTGTGGAACAGCTCCATGCAGGGATGACAGACGAGGAGCCAGGTGCCAAGCAGACAGTTCTGACCTGGCAGGTCTGGTCTGGGGCTGAGAAGCAGGCATTTCTAACAAGTCCCCAAGTGGCCCACTTTGAGAGCTGCAGCCTTAGAACAGCTCTGGGGACTCCTTGGTGCCGAGGGCTTTTGACCCCTTTCTACCCGGCCTCCACCTCCCACACGCCTCATGGGCACAGCTTGGCTCTCAGGACTGTAAACCAAAAATAAAATCCTGAGTCCCCTGACTGACTGAACTGAACCCCCTCTTGGCCAAGGAGACCCCAGGGCAACCTGAGGAAACAAATTCCAGGCCCTGAAGGCAAGGGAGGTCAGACACACCTGGTTGTACCACCTCCCTTTGGAGTTTAGGCAGAGCTGACCAGGGTGAATGAAACAGAGATAGACAGACAGCACAGCCTCACCAGCAATGACACCAAACTCCAGCCTGACTTGGGTACAGCACCTCATGACAGATAGCAAACCCTGAAGGAAATCAAAATATTTCACCCTCAAATACGTTTATTTCCTTGACATATTTGAAATGGTCCTGCAAAGCTGTCTTTTGTGAGGGAAATTTGCATCTGCGGAGAATCTCCCTCCCTTTCTAGGTCTTTCCTGGATCTAGGAGACATTTAATGAGTTTGACAGCGTTAAGGTCTGAAAAGAGACATTTACCCTCTATTCTCCCCAAGGCTGCTGCCTGTGAGGCTTCATCTACTTAACCTTGGCCTCCATAGCCCTTTTAGCTTAACTCAAGCATTTCTCTCTGCTGACTTCAAGTCTTTAGACAAAGCTTAACTCTTTCAACCAATTGCCAATCAGAATCCACCTATGATCTGTAAACCTACCCCTTCCTATACCTTACATGTACTGATTTATGTTTCTCTGCCTATAACTTCTGTCTCTCTAAAATGTATAAAATCAAATTAGCGTGACTGCCTGGAGCACACTTTCTTAGGGCCTCTTGACACTCTTCCCTGGGCCATGGCCACTCCACTCATTGGCTCAGAACAAACCTCTTTCAATATTTTCTAGTTTGGCTTTTTAGCCAACAGGACCCTCTGCCTGGGTTCCCTGAAGCCCTCTCCCTGCTGCCTGGTCAGGCCACTGCTGTCTTTCACTTTCAGCCATATCCTCCTCCAGTCTCAGTCTCAGGCCCAAGCCTGTTCTTCCTGCTGTGACTGGGAAGACAGTCAGACCCTCTAAAGGGTCTCAACTTATTGAGTTGAGTTAATCCCACCACTGGGTACGGATGTCAGGAGTGGCCTTCCTTCTGAGCTCTGGGGACGGTTCTCAAGGCTACCTAAGTGCTGCTTCAGCTACAGAATCTGCAATATTTGAATCTGGTTACCATCTTTAGATTTCAGCGACTCAACTGAAAAAAAAAAAAAAAATCAAACCCAAAACCCACAAAAAAGCTAAACAGGTGACAAAGTACTGCCAGGGCCACCTGCATTTTAATGAACATATCTGTTTCTGCCACTGAATAACACACAAGAACTGAAGGGTTCTCTACATGATTGAATTGTTTTCCTAAAAGCAGTGTTTAAAAACCCCACTGAACAGTTTTTCTGTCTTTCTATTCCAGTCTCTGACCTCGGTTCTGAGTCAGGTCAACAGGGCCGTAAGAAAACATGAGATCAAAGAGGAGGAATCCATTCGAATCAAAAGGCCCCATCACCGTGAGATAAGAGGAGAATGCATTTTAAAGATAACCATTTACAATGACATACAAAAGCCCTATTTAGACTTGGAAAAAAAAAAAGATTTCTTTACAAATCTGTTTGGTGATGAGAAAAATACAGCAGGATTGGGTATAAGACATAAAAACAAAGGTGCCGGAAGAAAGAGTAGCAATTTGTTACAGCTCTTGCCCACTGAAACATGTAATTAGAGGTTAGCACAACACAGGAAGCCCTGCCAAACCTCACTGGGTCGGGAGGACCTCCTACTTCAGTGATTTAAATTGCATTTTAAGGGAAGGGTGTGGTAAATGCCCCTCCCACGCCAACTCTGACCTGTAGAGCAGGCGAGTAACTTCGTGACTGATTAACAACGTGCGACCAGACGAAAGCACTAAACAGTCAAGTGTGGAACACTACCTAGGCAGTTTGGTGAAAGATTTCTCAAAGGCTGTGCATCTGTGATCAAGGAACCCACCAAAGAAATGCTTTGTAGAGTTAAAAAAAAAAAATGCTTTGTAGGTTATTGTGGGTTATTATAGAGAAGTCTCCAGAGTATTTGCATCGCTACGTTGTGGGTTCACTCTGAGCACCCACTATACAGCCAGCTATCCGAACCAGGAAGCTAATGATGAAGGTTTTAAAGGGAATGAGGTGGCTACAAGTGCGGAATAGAAATGAGGGATCCTCAGAGAACAGGAATTCTAGGCACTGATGTGGAATAACTGGGGATGGGGTGTGTGGACGCCAGGAAATAGCTAGGGTAGGAGGCCTGGCAGTCAATGAAGTTATTGGGGCTCAAAACACAGGTATTTTGAGAGCTGGGATACGGGAGGGCTTCCCTCTCCCCAAGTGTGCGGTGAGGGCTGCGGGAAAATGGTTTCATTTTCACTTGTGACAGCCCGACTCACTAGGATCTAACCTGGGGAAGACGTGGGGAGCAGCTGGCTTAGTTACCTGACCCTGGAAAGGCCAGGGTTGGTCCGAGTGGGGTGCCTCTATGGGGCAGGGGCTGGCTCTGCGGTAAGGAAAGAAAAACGGGAGAGGGGCCCCGGGACCCGCCTTCTGGGGCGGTCGCAGGGGGTCCTGGAAGGCCGCCGTCCCGGGGGTCGGGGGTCCCCGCGCGGGGGCGCGCCTCACCTCGCACATCCCCGGCCAGGGCCCGCCAGGTGGGCGCGTAGCCGATGCAGTGTCCACACCACGACGAGTAGAACTGCACGAGCCACGCGGCCGAGCTATTGGCGGTGGCCCCGCGCACGCTGCCGCTGTCCAGCACCCACACTGCGTCCTCGCCCGCGCGGTACAGCCGCGCCGCACCGCCCGCGCCCGGCCCTGCCGCCGCCGCCGCCAACAACACTAGCAGCCGCGGCAGCCGTGCGGCCCGCGGCGGGGGCGAGCGCCGGGCTCCCGGCGCAGGTCTGGCTCCGACTCCCGGGCTGCGCGCCACCGCCGCCCCGGCCGCCGCCATGTTGGAAGTGCCGCCGGCGCGCTGAACTTTCACCCTAGCAACCACCGTCACGTGCGCCGGCGCGTCCGGCCCCGCCCCCGCGCGCCCAGTTCTGTCCCGCCCCGCCCCCGCAGTCTGACCCCGCCCTCTCTCCGCCCCCGCGCGTATGGCCCCGCCCATGTGTGGCAGCCCCGCCCCCAAGAGTCTGATGACGCCATCTCCCCGCCCATGCGTGGCAGGCCCCGCCCCGCCCCGCCCCGCCCCGCCCCGCCGCGCGATCCCCAAACCGCGTCCCTGAGCGGGGCCAGGTGGCCACATTTAGCAAATAAAAGTGCACGACGCCAGGTTTAATGTGAATTTCAGCAAACAGTCGGTTTTTCAGCCTAGGTCTGTGCCATGCCTGAAATGCAAATTTAACAAGACATTATTCGACGTAAAAAACTATTCCGGAGTTCTTTTACTTGGCAACCCCACCTGGGGTTTCAGAGGGTCTGCAAGCCAGCCTCGACTTTTTAATATGAGATTTGAACGCTTAGAAAATGCAGCAAAGCATCCACTCAAAGTCGGATGTGTTGCGTGCTACCTTTTAGGGTGTTCCAGTCGAACGCAGCTTCAAGGTTTGGAAATGAAATCCTATGACTTTTTACTTCATCGAACAGGATACCTGGGGTTTTTTAGTTCCTATTTCTAATTTTTACACATGTCAGTATTTTCTCTGAACTGTGTGACCAAAACAAAAAAAGAGAGTGGGTGAGCCTGGGCAACATAGCAAAAGCCCATCTCTTTAAAAAAAAAAAAAAAAAAGCTGGGCATGGTGGTGCACACCTGTAGTCTCAGCTACTTGAGGGGCTAAGGTGGGAGGATGGCTTGAGCCTGGGAGCTCCAGGTTGCAGTGAGCAGTGACTCCGCCACTGCACTCCAGCCTGGATGACAGAGCGAGACCTTGTCTCAAAATAAATAGATAACTATATTGTGGGGTTCTGTGTAAGATTTTGTTTAAACGGTTTTGCTGCTAACAACAGTTAACCCCAGATGAGAGGATTCTCCCCAGAGGGCCCCTGGCCGAGGCACCTGCTCCCTTTCCCTCACGTCCTGCGTCTCCCTGTTCACGTTTCTTTCCATCACCCACGTTTCCTGGCTTCTGCTCTGTGCCAAGCCTTGGAGACAAAGCGAGCACAAAACTGAGCCCCCAGTGCCCCTGGCCTGCCATTCAGGCAGACCCAAAACAAACCAACGCGTAAAGCAGCCAACGCGTGCTATGAAAAGCAGTGAAGCCGCATAGGGAGGCGAGTGCCAGCAGGGCTGCCGCACACGGGAGGGTGGGGAAGTCTTTGAGAAGGTGACCCGAGTGGAGAAGGAGGTGAGGGAGGAGGCACATGGCCCAGGCAGAGGAGCCACACATGCAAAGGCCCTGGGGCAGAAGGGTGCTGAGCGCACTGGAGGAACAGCGAGGAGCCGGAGCCGTGCCTGGTGGGAGCGGAGCAAGCTGGGGGAAGTGTGGGAGGGAAGAAAAGCTGAGAGCCTGAGCGAGACCCAGGGGGCCTCACAAGCCGGGCCACAGACTTGGGCTTTGATGCTGAATTGGGGTCCACTATGGGAGGATTGGTGCAAAGATGCAGCTCTGCCCTTCCAGTTGCAGAGTAGGAGGGGCAGGAGGGGAAGCAGGGGACCTGGGAGGGGCCGCTGCCTCCTTCCACGAGCTGGAGGGACTCAGGGGAGGGGTGAGAGGCAATGCTGGTGGAAGGGTCGGCTGAGCCTGGGTGGAGGTGGAGGGTGTCACATTGGCAGAGTTTGGGCCAAAGCAATTGGAGGAATGGGGTTGCTTATGGCTGAGACTAAATCCTGCAGTGGTGAGATGGGAGATCTATGCTGGGGAGGACGCCAGGAGTTTGCTTTGGACCGGTTACATCTGAGCAGCCTTTTCAACCTCTAAGGGAGGTGTCAGGTCAGGGTTTGGAAGTGGGAGTCGAGTCTGGAGCTCAGAGCTTGAGGTCCCCTGGGGAGGCTGTGGGACAGAGGGGAGGGCCACGTGCCAAGCCCCAGGCCTCCAGAAGGAGCAGCGGCGAGGTGGCAGGGGAACAGGGAGTGGAGAAAAGGAGCCTGATCCGGCTGAGACAGAGGATGCCATGAGCCCAACTGGAGGGGCACATTCAGAACATCGGGGCAACACTTCACCCCAAACCTGCTTGGTGAAATGGAGCCACCCATGGGACCAAGCTCAGCCCAGCACTTAGAGGCCACACCCCAAAACAACCAGGGTTTCTCCAATCCAAGACAGGGTGGGGGAGGAGAAGGGGTTGGGATTGAATCTCGGAGTCTAGGCAAGAGCTGTCTGTGCTGAGCCAGGTCCTGCCCAAAAGCCCGCGTGAAATCTGCCCCTCCTCCTGCAGGAGAGGCGTCCGCATGTCACATGTCGCTGTGGCAAAGGCCAGGTGACTGCAGGCGCGGTTAGCACGCGTGCCACTGAGTGAGAAAACACGTGGCTGGTGGTAATTTTCAGGTGCCCTGACAGAGACAGCTCTGGCTTCAAAGGGATCAAAATGTGGGGAGATCACATCTCAGACCTGATGAGATAAGGTGCTGTGCAGGCTGAGGCAGCATCTTGGACCTAACCTGCTGTGTTGGATCCTGATGAGCCTGATTCCGGGAAGGCCTCCAAGATTTCCAGTGGATCTATTGTTCCCTGCGTAGAGCAGGTACTTGCCGTCAATCCTACCCTTAGGGCACAAAGTCTTGATGCTCTCTGCTTCAGGTTTCTGCACATCCCTTCTAAACCAACCTCCCCTGTGGCAGATAAGCCCTGGGCCTGGGGGTGCTGGCGGGATCCCGTCCGTCTGGGCCTCCAGAGACATAGATGTGGCTTCCATTTGTAAATCCCTACTAAATGTTTCGTCCTGAGAAACTGGACCTGTCAGCCCCCTTCTTCTGCCTCTCAGCCTCCTCCATCTTTGGAGCAGGTTTGCACAAGCCTGCCCATCGTGGAACAGGTATTGCTATTCCTGTTGTTTTGTTTGTTTGTTTTGAGACGGAGTCTCGCTCTGTCGCCCAGGCTGGAGTGCAGGGGCGTGATCTCGGCTCACTGCAAGCTCTGCCTCCCGGGTTCACGCCATTCTCCTGCCTCAGCCTCCCGAGTAGCTGGGAGTACAGGCGCCCACCACCACGCCCGGCTAATTTTTTTTGTATTTTAGTGGAGACGGGGTTTCACCGTGTTAGCCAGGATGGTCTCGATCTCCTGACCTCGTGATCCGCCCGCCTCGGCCTCCCAAAGTGCTGGGATTACAGGCGTGAGCCACCGTGCCCGGCCTGATATTCCTGTTTTACAGAGGGGGAAACTGAGGCTCAGAGGGCTGACTACTGTGTGAGGTGAAGGACACATGGCATGTATGTGACAGAGAGGAAAGTCTCAGGCCCACGTGCCTCCCGGAACCCAGGAGGGCCCATTCCAACGCTTGTGTTGCAGACAAAGGCAGAACCCCAGCTCTGAGCCACCTCCCTTTCCACCTGGGGAGAGCGGAGATGAGGCCCAATGGATTTCAATGGCCCTGGCTCCAGGACTGGTCCTGCCATCCACATCTCCCCCTTTAGCAGGAGTTTGGCATGGAGGGCTCAGCTGCTTATGACCGACCACCACCCACTTTGGGAAAACTTCTGAGGAGGAATTGTGCACACCTGTGCCAGCCCCTGCGTACTGGCTACGTGCCAGGAACAGTGCCCGGGGGAACAATTCTCCATGTCCTCCCTAGGACACCATGAGGAGGTGGGTGGCCACCCTCCTGGGACTGTGGACACGGAGGCACGTCTGAGGGCAGGGGCTCCCTGCCAGACCCCTAGGGAGAGGTGGAGCAGGGCCCAGGCAGCCTCAGAGCCCGAGCTGGCTCCCAGTACCAGTGTGGCCGGTGCTGCATCAGCTACAGACTGATGGACATGGTGAGTGGCGGGCAGGGGAAGGGTGGCAGGGAGCCCCGGGGCAGCGCCAGGGGGTGTGTGTGATCCCATCCTCCACTCCCAGCTTTTGATGCTGCCATGAGGTGGGTGGACGGGACAAGGCGCCATGGGATGGCTGTGGGACCTGCCAACACTCTTCCAGGACCCCAAAGCTGCCTGGGGAGCCGCGAAAAGGACGGCTTCTGAGCCTGGCTTTGCTGGGCATGAACGGGCCAGGCTTGACCCTGGGGACAGAGAAAATGACCCGCAGGGACCCTGCTCCACCTGGGCAGTGAGTGAGTTCTCCCAGTCCCCTGGGTGCCAGGAGGCTATGCTTCCCAGGAGTGTGTGCAGCCGCCCCCTTTCATAAAGGGCCCCCCTGGCCTTCATGTGTGTTTTATGAGGGTGGCCGTGATGGCCATGCAGGGCAGGGAATCAAAAGGACTCGTAAAGTTTGTCTGATGATTTGGAACTGGGAGTGCCGCGGACACGTTCATGGGCATTTTATGCAGGAGGGAACCGTTAAGCAGGGAAGCTGAAAGAGACAGATCACGGGAAAATTAAACGTAGGGTTTAACTGAGAAATAATCATTTTCTATGAAAGATAATGACTTCTCTGGAGGCCGGTATCAAGATTTATTGGCCCAAGCGGTGACGACAGATCAGAGCCCAGACAAGAACAGCAGGAGACCTTGAAGGGGAGGAACCTTGGATTACCATCTCGCCCGGTCGATATATCTGAATGCCAAAGCCCTCTGCTCTGTATGTGTCATGTTGGGAGATTAAATGTATTTACACCTCTGGTGGAGTGGCTTTTTCTCCTGCAGTCAGAGTAACCTGATAGCTCCGGCCCCCTCCAGCGCTGCTGTCCTTGGAAGCCCTGGCCCGGGTTTGCCTTCGTTCCTCACGACCAGCCCCATTCAAGGGCACCCTGCCACCGGCACCTGCTGGGATCCCAGGGAAAGTCCAGCTGTGAGTGCAGCCGCCACTGCATCACACCGCACGTCAGCACCAACCATGTGGCGGCGAGCCGGGAAGCCATCGGATTTGCCGCAAATCTGCGGGGGCTTCAGTGGAGGAGATTTATTGCCGTGCCAGATGCGTGTGTGTGAAATACATAATTCCTCTCCCACGGCCTCATAAATCCAAAAGGGTCAGCAATAAATGGAAAAAAATAAAAAATCACAGACTGATTTGTTCGGAAGACTAGAAGGGGATCCGTGAGAAAGCTGTAGCTCAGCTCAAAGTTTGTTCTGAAACTGAGAGCACGGCGCAGGAATACATTCCCCACTGGATCCAAACCTCTGCGTTCTCAGGTGGGCTGGGCAGGAGCTGGCGCAAAATCAGATGCCCGGCCCGAGCTGGGCTTCCCACACACATGCTGAGTGGGGGCCCTGACACAGGCCGGCCATCCTAACGGCACCTGGGGCTGAGCAGCCGCCCCGGGGCTGGAGAAGGCAGGCTGGGCCTAGCTGCTGCCCAGCAAGGGGTGTCTGGAGAGGGGCTCTTACCTCACGGAAGGGGGCCCAAAGGGGTTCTCAGGGGCCTGGGGTCTTTCACCAGAGCTATGGGGTAGAGGGCCCTGGCAGCTCTGTGTGTCCTGCAACCTGGCGCCTTAGGGCTTTGCCAGGCCAGCTTTGTGATGTCTCCCACCGGACTGCATGCATAAAGTCTGGAGTGTGGTCCCCTCTCAAAGTGGAGGAGGCCTGAGGCCCTGGACAGGAGAAGCCACATCCTGGAGGGATCAGTGCTGGGACACAGAGGTCCCTGAGGCCAACACGCTGCCCATCAACTCCCCATTCAAGGAGAGACCCTCAAATTCAAAAGGGTCCCGGAGAAATTACAGGGGTCCCAGCGAATGCTCTGGAAGCAAAGAAAAGTCCATGACACCAGGAGAAATCGGATGCCCTGGCCTTCCAGGCACAGCGAGTCCCAAACATGCTCCAAAAGAGATCTTGGGCCACTGACTCCCAGAGGACAAGCCCCCGGCTGTGCGGGCTGCAGGGGAAATGACCTTGGGCCGCTGAGCTGCGGCTTCCTCTGATCTGTGCAGCTCAGGTGAGAGACGCCCATGCCCAGTCCCCCCAGCTGCACGTCATCTGCTGGCCGTGTGGGTGGGGTAGAGGGTGGCGGGGGGAGGCACCTCCAAAGTCAAAGTAGGCAAATGCCCCTGACTGTCTTCTAAGCAGGGCTCAGGGGTGTGAGTCAGCACCAGCCGGGCCCACCCCAGCTCTTCTTTACCCCAAATGTTCTCTCTTCCTCTCTTGGCCTTCGCTGATCCCCATGACCCCTGTCCTGGCATAGGCGCTGTTCCACCCCTGCCCTCGCTCCTGTTCTTGACGACTCTGACTGTTCTTGGCTTTGGGCTGCAACGCCTTTTCTTGGACGCCTCTTCATGGCTTTGATGCGAAGGAGTGGGTGTGCAGTCTGGGCCCAGCTTCAGGTGACCGTCCCGCAGAGCCGGCCGCCCACCCGGTCCACCCTGGGAAAGTCCAGGCCACCATCCCTCACACAGCTGGCCACCCAGCCGGTCCACCCTGGGAAGGTCCAGGCGACCGTCCCGCACAGCCGGCCACCCAGCCGGTCCACCCTGGGAAAGTCCAGGCCACCATCCCTCACACAGCCAGCCACCCAGCCGGTCCACCCTGGGAAAGTCCAGGCCACCATCCCTCACACAGCCGGCCACCCAGCCGGTCCACCCTGGGAAAGTCCAGGCCACCATCCCTCACACAGCCGGCCACCCAGCCGGTCCACCCTGGGAAGGTCCAGGCGACCGTCCTGCAGAGCCAGCTGCCCAGCTGGTCCACCCTGGGAAGGTCCAGGTGGCCCTCCTGCACAGCCGGCCGCCTGGCCGGTCCGCCCTGGGAAAGTCCAGGCCTCTAGGTTCTTACTCCCACGTGTGCATGTGTGTGCCACACACAGCTCACAATGACATCGTGGACGCCTGTGCATCTCTGTAGTTCCAGAAAACACTCCCTAGGGGCCACACCTGGGGGCCAGTGTGGAGACAGCAGCTAAGGAGTCATGCAGGACCCTCCTGGTGAGCCGCGTGGAGACGAGGTCCACTGCCTGGTCTCGCTCCACACCTGGGAGATGTGCACAACGGCCTGAGTCTGTCTCCAGGAGCGGCTCTCTGCCCAGTGCGCCCTCGGGCCTGGGTGAGTCCTCTACCTGGCGGCTCAGGCCTCCCTCGATGTCCTTGCCGGCATGCTCCAGGGACTCACACTTTCCACGGGTGGCCAAGGGTACTTGGCCTGGGGGAGAGGCTGCCGGGGCTGCTTCCCGGGGACGTGGAGGTGTGGCTGCCTGTGGAGGTGTGGCTGCCTTCCTGCTCTTACCCAGTATTTCTTTGGGGTCTCGGCCCCTGGTGGGGGTCTTGGCCAAGCAGGCTTGGCTGCCCAGGGGCCCCGCTGCAGATGAAGCAGTGTCTAGGAGCTCATCCAGACCCACCAAGAGCTGCCCCGACCCTCCCTGGCTCTCTGCACACCCAGAGCTCTGCGCTCCTTCCCAGGGCTCTCCCCGACGGCCCAAGACCTCCTCAAAGGCCACATCAGCCCAGAACCCTGTACCCAAAGCAGGATCCCAGTCCCCCGATGAACTGCCACTCGTCACGTCCGCGTCACCAGCTGCCAACAGCCCTGACAGACCTTCCCTGGCCACAGAGGCCACTCTGGATGGAGCTGGGGGTTGCACTGATGGTCCTGGGAGCCCTCCGGGGACACTGCCCGACCCCTCACACGACGGGCGCCCTGGCCAGCTGACAGGTTCAGGCCACTGGCTGCCTCCGGCCTCATCCTCTGCTATAGAACTGCATCTACCCAACTGGTCCTCAAGGCTTCCACCCGGTCCAGCCACCCCTGGGCAGAGCCCCGACTCCTGGGTTCCCGCGGACCCCTGGGGCCCAGGAAACAGTCCCTCCGGCAGACTCTCCTCAGACAAGGAGGACAAATCCTGGGTGATGATGGCGGTGTCCTCCCCGAGGGGCCCCGAGGGCGGGGAAGGGAAGGCATCTGAGCATGGGTTGGTGTCTTTGCCATCACTCTGTGCCTGGGGAGTGGGAGGAGGTGGGGGTAGGGGGTCCTCCCTGTGGATGGAGGACGGGAGGTCGGCACTGCTGTAGGACAGCAACTCGTCCACGGGAGATAGGATCTCAGTCAAGACGTCACTGGCAAGTGGGGGACAGGCTTCCTCCAGGACAGTGGGGGCTCCATTCCCACCGGGCCCAGGCACCCGGCTCTCAGCTACTGGGAGTGCCAGCCTGCCCAGGTCCCCGGGAGGAGCCTGCAGGGTCACCGGGGTCTCGGGCTCTGGCATGAGGTGCGGGAGTTTGCTCTTGGTGGACAGACTCGAGTCAGCATCCCGAGTTTCCTCCTGGTAGCCCAAAGTCTCTCCTCCTTTGCCGAAATCTGCTCCTTCACTCCCAGAGGTCCCCAGAGGAAAGGCCGGCAGCGAGTCCGAGTCGCTGGCAGAAGAGATTTGGGGTGGGAACACCACACCGGCGGCCTCCGGGGGTGCCCGGCATGCTTCTCCTGTGTCTGACACCCCCGTCAGGCTCTCGCTGGTCCCAGAAGCTTCCTGCCCCTCCCCAGGCCATGGGGAGGGAAGAGCCACCTGGGTCTCCACACCACTTTCAAGGCCCGATGAACCACCTGCAGGCAGGGAGCTCCCCGAGGCTGGCTCGGCCCCAGTGCAGGGTTCTGGCAAGTCCTTCTCACTGTCCTCGTCCCAGACTTCGCTGGAGGCCTCTGACAGCTCTGAGCCTGACCTTGGAGAAGGGACGTCTGGGAAAGGCAGCAGCCAGCCTGCCTTCGGGCTCTGCTCCGGTGCTGAACCTTCTGCCACAGCCGTGTCCAAGGAGGAACCACACAGGGGGCTGGCCCCACTGCCCTGGGGCCTCTGCCAGGTGACCCGTCCTCCACCCCCAGGAACACTGCCTGGCCGAGGCTCACCCTGGTTTGGCCCCCAGGACAAAGGCAGGCCAGCTTCCTCAGAGGAGTGTCGGGCAGAGAGCTCTCCAGGCCAGGCAAAACCGTTGTCTGGGGAATCTTCAGCTTCCAAGCCGGGAAGAGAGCTGGAGCTCTCAGAAAGTTGGACCAGCGTAGCCGCTGCTTTCTGGAACTCCCAGAGAGAGGGACAGGACAGGCTGGTCACAGAGCCTGCTGGGGAGGTGTGGGATGACACCATGGCTTCTTCCGAAGGCCCCCAGCAGGTTCCGGAAGCAGACTCAGAGCCTGGACCGCAGGAGGGGGTGGCGGGGAGAAGGGGACTGCCCTGGTGCAGGATCGGGAGCGCCACCTCCTCAGGAGCCACAGGAGCTGCTGAGAGAGGGGACAATCAACACTTGTCACCCTCTGCACCCTGGACCCCATGCATATCCCACGGCCCCCAAAGCCAGGAGGTCAGAACAGAGAAACACCCTGAACAGAGGCAGGAAGAACGTTGAGGTGCCAGCGTGTTGGACCCCTGTGATTCCACCCCAGCGGTTGACCATGCCCACCCCCACCCACACCCAGTGAGTCATGTCCAGGGACCTTGCCGAGCCTTGGGGACCCAGCCTCATAGCACCGCAGCCGTGGTTCAAGGACTGACTGGTTGGCTTTGCCTTTTTAATTTTCATTCGGGATGTGGGTGGATCCAGAGGATCCCTGACCGTCATTCACCTCCCCCAGCAACCCTGTGATGGGGAGGTGCGTGGGCAGAGCCCTCCAGCTGGGCAGTGGGGAAGGCAGGGGCTGTGTGTTGTGGGGAGAAGCTGGCTCTGACGTAGAAACAGCCTTGGGGGACCCTTAGTGGGGACTCGATGGCTGAGGGAGGGGCTGGGGGCTGGGGCATCACCTGGGGAGGCAGCAGCCCGGGCAGTTTCCAGCCAGGTGGAGGAGACGCCGGGGACCTCCTGCAGGCAGGCCTCCATCCTGCAAGCACATTCGTGGAGAACCCTGTGGGGATCCTGGTCCTCCTGGCCTCTTCCCCAGGGCCCACTGTCAGGGACCCCACTGGGCTCAGTCCACAGCCCACAGTCAAAAAACATCCCAGCTAGTCCTCTGCCACCACCTGAGGTGAACCTGAGGGCAAGGGCTCCCCAGTGGCTTGTCTTTGGAGGCATCCAGTCTCAGTCCCACTGGATCAGGTGGCAGAGAGGGGTGGGGCTGCCACTCCCAGGGGGTTCGAGGCCCCTCTGCTGACCTTGGGCTGATTCATGGGTGACATCTTTATTTCCAAAAGTGGGTCAGACCCCGGAGGGCTCGGGGTGGGTGCACAGCTGTACCCCAGCAGCACAACTGTGCCAGGAGAGAGTGAGGGTCTCCACAGCAGGGGGACAGGCAGTGCTGGCTGAACCCGTCTCCGTGCCTCAGGCTCCACCCCTGCCCCAGGTCCTGCCTGCTCCGGGGAGCCCAGCCCCACACCTCTGCTCCCCTGATCGCCAGCTCTCGGTTTCCTGGGACTCCTCCACGGGACTCCCGGCAAAATCCAGCCCCAATTCCGAGCCCTCTTCGCTCGTGCTGCCCTCAGTCACCTGCTGGAGACACATTGGAGAAATGACACTGTCAGGGTGTGGCCTCTGTCTCTGTCCACCTCCTGTAGCTGGATGGAGCCCCTGTGCTTCCGGCGGCCATGGTTAAGGAACAAAGACCACCCAAAAGATGGCCGTGGAGACCCCCACTCATCAGATTCCCCTCCTCCCATTGGGCCCTGCCGCCATGGGAAAAAAGTCTGTTTTTCTGCCCAGGTGTTGAGTGTTAGGGTGAGACCCAGAGAACTGGCAAACTTCAGAACTGAAGGCATCTGCTGGGAAGGGCCCCGGGGCACTCATGGGATGGACCAGGAGACCCCGCAGGGCCACACAGCAAGGCCAGGCCCCACTCAGCCCACAGGAAGTGCACAGCCACACCCGACTCACGCTGGCTTCCTGTGGGCCACAAGGACCTTCTCTGCCCCAGGAGGATTGGCTGCGTTCCCCGAAGCTCCTCACGTGGCTGTCTGTCGGAGCCCGGGGCTTCCCCGCTAAGGAAGGGCCGGGCTTGGTCTGAGGGTCTCCTGAAGGGCAAAGGGACTGTCAGCGCTGGCGGGGACAGATGCAGGAAGCAGAAGGAGCAGCTCCCAGGAATTCCGAAGTCACATAAAACAAATCTTAAAATTCAAAGTGACGCATGCCTTTCTGCAGTGCTTGGTTAGTAATGAGGGCGGAAACGTACATGGTAGTTTGCTCCTAAAATGATCCTGTTATTGGACAGTTAGTGATCGAAGTCCCAGCCAAGAGTTTAGAGAAAATTTGTTTAGAATTCAGAAGTCGGCTGGGCGTGGTGGCTCACGCCTATAAACCCAGCACTTTGGGAGGACGAGGTGGGTGGATCACAAGGTCAGGAGTTCGAGACCAGCCTGGCCAATATGGTGAAACCCCATCTCTACTAAAAATACAAAAATTAAGTGGGCGTGGTGGTGGGTGCCTATAATCCCAGCTACTCAGGAGGCTGAGGCAAAAGAATTGCTTGAAGCCGGGAGGCGGAGGTCGCAGTGAACCAAGATCACGCTATTGCACTCTAGCCTGGGAGAGAGTGAGACTTTGTCTCAAAAATAATAATAATAATTATTATATTATTATTATTTAGAGGCCTCTTTCCCTCCCTTGGGGGAAACCCTTTGCCAGAGCTTGCTCTTCCCCCTCGGTGCCGTCCAGACAGACGCTGGTGTGAGGCAGGAGTGGCACAGAGGGCTGGTGGGGGGCAGGCCTCGGACACAGCAAGGTCACCAGTGCACTGCCGGAGGGATCGCAAAGGGGGACAAAGGGGTGGGTGGGGCCATCGCAGAGCCCTCCCCAGGAGCACCAGGCCCTCCCCGCATTGCATCTTCATCTCCCTAGACTTTCGTTCTGTGGGGTCAGGGGACTGTGAGGGCCAAGGCCACCTGGCTAAGGGAACCGGAGCTGTTTAGTGAACACCCAAGGAGGGGGAAGCTCCATCAATGGGAACACCTGCCCTCCAGTCCATGGCCCTGGGCTGCCCCAATGACCACAGTGGGGCGTCACCCAGGGAGGCCTTGCGAGTGCAGTCTTTTGATCAGAGAGCGGCCAGCACTGCAATCAGGCAGCCCCAGGGCGAGCCCTGGACCACCTGAGAACATAAGTCAGGCCTCAGGCTCCTCCTCTGCAGTGTGGGTGTAACGAGTGAAGCCACCTCCAGAGGCAACGAGAACAGTGACAGCTGGTACATGTGGCCATGTGGCAAGGGAGGCTTCAGGCTGAGCAATCTTCACGGTGGCCGCTGAAGCCTGAACGACGCAGGCCCGGGGGCAATGCGGGACACAGGGGGAAAGCACTCTGTATTCACTCCGCCCCTCAGTGCCACTGGCCTCTCCAGGGAGCCCCACCAGCCACGCTCTCCTGGGCAGGCAGCCCCACAAGTGCTTCTAACCTCTTCCTATCTCAACCCGTCTGTCCTGAGGTTTGCTTTCCCTGGCCCCAACTGCAGGGCCCCCCAGTCCAGCAGACCCTCGGTAGCATAGTCTCCCTGCTTCCGAGGATGGACACTGGGTGGGGGCCTTCTGAACTCGGTACCCAGAGCTGGTCAGGGAGCTCCGAGGTGGCATCGCAGGGCATGCAACCCCCCACTCACTCTTCAGCTGGCGGCTACTAGATCCACCACCAGGGATCCCTGACACGGTGAGCGCGTCCCCTCCCGCCCCACCTACAAATTGGGGACTTGGCTCTCGGGGAGGCCCCCGGCCAAGTGTAAGGTTCGGAAAGAGAAAAATGTAATCGGTGCAAAAACCTCCGTCGGCTGAAGACGCTCAGGCAGTGCTGGCTTCCAAACGCTTAAAAACCTGCCCCAGATGAACGAAGTTGCGACTAAAACAACCCCAGCCAGTTATGACTTTTAATTTCTCCAGAAGAGCCGCTGCGTCACCTCCGGTAGGAGATGGAGCCGGCCACTCTTCTTGCGGTGAAGGGGTCCGAGGCCAGGGTGGGGGGCCACCAGGGCCCATCTTCTTTGCTTTCCGTCCTTGTCCAGTGGCTGAGCTCCAGCCTCGGACTGTCTCTGCCGGATGTAGGGGACGCGTCCGGCGCCGTGATGGCCCACACGCTGTTTCCAGGGTGCTTACCTGGGAGCGGCTCCTTCGCCTCCTGTGACCTGCGCTGAGCTGTGGGGAAGCGCCCCTCCGCCTCCTCGGCCTGGGGATTGAGACAGGGGAGTGGACATGCCACAGGGCCCTGCAGGGAGGCACCAAGGGCCAGGGATAGACCAGGATGGATGGGGACAGATGGGGACAGACTGGGGTGGATGGGGACAGATGGGGGTGGACAGGGACAGACAGGGACGGGCAGGGACAGACAGGGACCCACTGCAGGAACCAAGGACCGGCCACAGGAACCAAGGGGCCCCAACCAAGATCAAGTCGCCGATTGGCAGAATGTTGGGAGGAGGGCCCTGAAACAGGTGGGGCTGGGGAAATGGCTTCCAGGGAGTGCGTACGGGAAAGGCTGGGCCCAGCCGCTGTCCGTCAGGGGGGCTCGCGGGCTGCAGGTCCGGCTGAGGGGCCCGAGGCTGCTCCCCAGGTTCTGAAAGACACAGTCCCAGGAGTCACCAGCGGCAACCACAGACTGAGGCCAGGAAGGGAAGGAACGAGGCAGGGGCAGAATGGAGCTGCGGGGGGTGGGGGGTGGGGGAAACATGGTGGGGACTGATGTGCGTGGGGAGTGGGGAGGGTGTCGCCACATACTGCCCTGTTCTTGGCAGGATGGACGGCAAACAAGCTAACTTCGAGGGAGACAGGGACAGCCTGGGGCCACATCCGGCTCTCTGCCCTGCCATGTCCCCTGCCTGGAGGCCCGAGGGTCTGCTCAGCCCGAGCCTGGGAAAGGCGGCCTGCTGAATCCTCCTTCTGCCCTGGCCAAGGGCTCTCTGTGGGCCTGTGTTTCTGGGACCTGCCTGGCAACAGTCTGAGGCCTGCACGTGGCCCAGGGGCTCTGAGCAGCCGCCCATGAGGAGCCCTTCGCAGACAGAACCTGCCTGGGTGGTTTCCCGGCCAGCGCATCCCTCGCTGTGTATCTTGGGAATGCTGGCTGCCTGTACATGGGGTGGCCTGCCTGCTGGCAAGCCCACTGTGTGCCCTGCTGCACTGAAACGCAGACACGGGGAGGCCGGGGTGGCCCGGTCACAGGTGGGGCACAGCAGGCCTGCCTGACCCTGAGCCTGACGCCACCCCACGCTGCCCAGGGCCCACTGAATGAGTCCTTCTGTCCCGGGGCAGTCACCGCTGCTGCTCGTTACCTTGGCTGATGTGGCTGCCGCTCTCCACCAGCGGGCCCCGGGGGTCGTGTGTGTCCTCGCCCCACGCTGGCCTCGGAGGCTGCTGGTGACCATCTGCGTCGGAGGTTGTCTGGGGCGGCGTCACATCCCGCTGCTCCGCGGGAGGGCTGCACGGCCATGCAGAGTGGAGGTGACCGCCCGCCCGGCTGCCCCTTCCCAGGTGTCCAGCCCTGGCCACAACCTCCACCAGCACCCTCTCTCTGGGCACAACCTCATGTCACATCCAGGGGTGGCTGCGGTCAGTGGCCAAGCAGAAGACGGGATTGTGACCCCCTCACCCGGGTAAGGTGGGTGGGAGAGACCTGTGTTCTCCTCAGGGTGTGGCCCCTTCAGACTTCTGCCTGGAGATGGACTGTGCCTCCCAGGTGCACATGCTGGGCCCCCGAGAAGCACGGTGCCACCCCAGGCCTGCGCTGACCTCCAGGCACCCCCCGTCTGACTCTGCCTGGGTCACACTGCTGGGGTGGCAAGAAAACTCCTGCTGTCTCAGGTGCCTGCCCGGCGACACGTCGTCCGACTCTCTTTCTCCCCCAGGCACCTGCCACATCTGGGCACAGCTGGTTGCTCCCGCCCAAGGGTGCCCCTGAGCATTTCCCCCTGGATTCACAGATGGCCGGGGGTGAGCAGGAGGTGCTGGTTCAGAGGAGGGTGGCCCTAAGGGCCTGGAATCCCCGTATCCCAAGGTAGATGGCTGAGGGGCTGGAGCCCGCACTCTCGCTGGAGCGGGACTGGGAAGGCACCTTGACACCAGTGTGTGCCCCACACAGGCTCTAGAGGGAGACAGGGCAGTGCCCCCAGGGCTTGGCACTGCCCCCAAAGCAGAGCAAGGTACTGTACTCTCAGAGCTGCCCCAGAAACAGAACATGACTGAATAAAAATGAGAACAGGAACCCCCATGTCCTAGCCGGGCGCGGTGGCTCACGCCTGTAATCCCAGCACTTTGGGAGGCCGAGGCGGGCGGATCACAAGGTCAGGAGATCGAGACCACGGTGAAACCCCGTCTCTACTAAAAATACAAAAAAAATTAGCCGGGCGCGGTTGTGGGCGCCTGTAGTCCCAGCTACTCGGGAGGCTGAGGCAGGAGAATGGCGTGAACCCGGGAGGTGGAGCTTGCAGTGAGCCGAGATCCCGCCACTGCACTCCAGCCTGGGCGACAGAGCGAGACTCCGTCTCAAAAAAAAAAAAAAAGTAAAAAAAAAAAAAGGAACCCCCATGTCCTAAAGGATTCATTCCCCTCCCCTACACCCTCCTCAGCACACAGCGTCTCAGGCCAGGACCCTGCGGCAGCTCCATCTGCTCCATCCAGCTTCTTCCTCGCTCCCTTGGGGTGCAGATAGACACACCCCAACCCCAAGGCACCCAGCTCACAACTGAGCTTCTCTCAAATGAACCAATGAAGGAGGGAAGCGCGTCTGCTCCTGTGTGGCAGGAGCCCCAGCAAAACACCACAGGTGAGCTTCTCGGGGGTGGGGTCCCAGGGAGCCAAAGTTTTCTCTGTGAATACCTCACTTTTCTCTATTTTCTAGCTGTGGACAGGGCTACACAGCGCTGGTGTGACAAGCCGAACATAGGGTGTACCCCTCCGCCAGGAGGGTGGGCTGACCCCCACGCTGGGGTCCAGGTCTGCAACCGTACATCTACCAGCCCCTCCTCTCCAGCCCTATAAGCAAACCCTGGGGGACCAAGTGGCGGTAGTAGGCCTGGAAGCCTCTTCAGAGATTCCTGGGACTGGCAACTGGCAGCAATGTGAATGACAGATCAGTCTGTGCCCAGGTTTATTTGAAAGCTTGAGGAGGAGCCACGGAGCCAATGGCCGAGGCTGAGTGGTCAGCAGCTCCCCTCGCTGCAGAGGCCCCTCTGGGCTGGGAAAGAGCTGCAGGACGCTCCCCCAGGCAGGCAGGGGCCTCCAAAGGCTGCTCCCCTGGGCCTGTGCTGCCCCGCCGCCTGCCGCTTCAAGGGGGTCTGTGATAGAGTTTTGAGGGCTGCCGGCCCTGGGTGTCTGAGCTCAAAGGAGAGGAGGCCTCCTCGGCCCTCCAGGGCCATTTTGAGCCCCGAAAGAAGAGCTGTTCCCAGCATCAGGAAGCCGGGAGGCTCTTGATGGGAAAAGCAGCTGCTCCTCCCACGGCCAGGCTCTCGGCCAGGTGACCCTGGTCATCACACCTCCTCCCCTGCTCCATGGGGACAGTCCAGGCGGAGCCCTGGTGCCCTCTAATGAGGCGCTTTTGCTGCAAACCAAAGCCAACGGCCACATGGCCAGGCCTCAGAGAAGGTTGAGCTGCCACCGGTGGGCAGAACAGCCCCCAGCCACCTTGGGAGGGGGTGCCCAGGGCTACACGTGCCACCCCTGGCCCCTGAGCCAGACCTGTCCACCGGCTGTGCCCCACCGCATCCTGCAGCAGCTGTGGAGGGGAGAGCACCCCGTCCCTATTTCCCAGGTGAGGAAACAGGCTAAGAGGAGATCCTCCCCGTGGCCACACTCCAGCCAGCCACAGAGCCAGGAAGGTGCAACCAGCTCCTGGGGCTCCTCCCATGGGGCCCGGGCAGCTCCGGCTTCTGCCCAGACCCACTGGGCCAGCAGGCCTCCCTCAGTGCCCTCAATGCCCACCCCCTTCCGTCCTCCCAGGCACAGGTGGGGATGGGGCTGACTGAGTCGGCCGCCCAGTGCAGGAAAGGCTTCTCAGGAGAACATCAGCGTCCAGACCCCGACTCCCAACCCCCAAGACCAACCAACTCACCGTTTGGCCTTCGAGCTTGCGGGGCTGCTCTGGGGGCGACGGCTGGTGGGGCTGCTGGGCCTGCGCAGGGTCAGGGGACACAGGGAGGCCTCTGGCTGCTGGCTTGTCTCTGAGCCGCCCTCCCAGGTGACCTTGACTCTGGGGCTGGAGCCCTGTGAGAAACGGTGCAGAAGAGCCTGGCGTGGCTGTCTCTGCTCATTTCTTCCTCAGAAAAGCCGGTGCCGGGCATCATGTGACTGTGGCTGTGACAGGGCTGGTGCAGTGCTGGGGCTGTTTGCTCCCTGCTGGGTGCCAGGCTGAAACAGGACCTCTCATTTGAGCAGGGGTCCTGCACCCCCGCTGAGAGGTATGGATGGGAGACCCAGAATGACGAGTCTTTGCCCAAGGCCGGCCAGACACCCCCATGCCCAGCTCTGGAATCAGGTTGCTCCTGTCTCCTCTCCTGCAGTCCAGCCTGGAGCAGGTGCTTCAGAGCGCTCAGATCATTCAATCCTCATCCCCACCTTCCGGGTGAGCCCGCTGCCCTCCCGGCCTTACAGAGGAGACGCGCAGGTGGGGAAGGCACACAGCTTGCCTGGGGATAGTCCCCACCCCTCGTCCACACAGCTTCCTCACTCTGCTGGTGGACATGGGGAGCTGGAGCCGCCCTCCAAGGACGCAGCTTCTGCTTGGGGTCCCTGAGGGGCTGGCCTGCCCCCGGAACTTCCAGCCACACTCTCCTTCCTGCCTGGGTCCCATGAGATCCCCAGTCCTGCTTATTCCCCAACCCCATCCACTGCTGCCCCCACCTGAAGTCTGGCTCTGCTCTAGGGCCTGGCCAGGACCACCCCATCCAGGAAGCCTCCTCAGCCCCCCAGCAGCGGCCCCTCCCTCCCTCCATCTGCCCCACCCCCAACCCCACCCCCCAGCAAGTCTTCCTGCGGCCACAGGCATTTTTACAAGGGACTTGCACGATCCTAGGGTACAGCATTTCTGGGGCTGAGCCCCAGCCCAGGCGAGAGCGCCCACCTGCGGCAGCTTGGCCCGGACCTGCAGCTCGTGCACTGGGACGACGTCCGCGGGCCCCGTCATGGGGAGGACTTCCGTGGGCCCCGGGATGGGGAGGGCGTCTGCGGGCCCTGGGATGGGGAGTGCGTCCCTGGGCCCTGGGATGGGGCGGGTGCCCGCGGGCCCCGGGATGGGGAGGGCTCCTGCAGGCCCCGGCATGGAGACGACGTCCCTCTGATGTTGCAAAAACAGCTTCCTGTCTCGGTGCCTGAGCAGCTGCGTGTGGCGCAGGTATTGGATTTCCCTCTGAGCAGGCGAAAGAAGCAGATGTCAGCATAACCCCGGAGCCAGCAGAGGAAAAGACCAACGAATGGCCGGGCGCGGTGGCTCAAGCCTGTGATCCCAGCACTTTGGGAGGCCAAGACGGGCGGATCACGAGGTCAGGAGATCGAGACCATCCTGGCTAACACGGTGAAACCCCGTCTCTACTAAAAAAAAATACAAAAAACTAGCTGGGTGAGGTGGCGGGCGCCTGTAGTCCCAGCTACTCGGGAGGCTGAGGCAGGAGGATGGCATGAACCCGGGAGGCGGAGCTTGCAGTGAGCTGAGATCAGGCCACTGCACTCCAGCCTGGGCGACAGAGTGAGACTCCGTCTCAAAAAAAAAAAAGAAAAAAAAAGGCCAGCGAAAGGGAAGGGGTGTCTGGGCGGACGCCCTGGCCCTCGCACTGGGGGGCCTCCATTTCCCTCCAATTGGCCTTTGCCTGCCCCTCCTGCCGGGCCGAGGATACCCCCATGGCCTTGGGCTTCCCTGGGCTTGGTGGAGGAGGCAGCCACAGGCGGCAGGAGGCAGGAGGGAGACAGGCATTCATTCCCCGGGGCTCGAGCGGGGCTGGCACAGGTTGACTGGGCCTCGCCCTCCCTGTCTCCAGGCTCCAGGCACTGCCCCCACCCCATCCCTCCTTTACGACTGTTCTCTCTGTTCCCCACAGTGTCCCCGGTGGACGCACCCTCGGAACCACCTTGTATGGAGCGAAGGCACGGGCCGTTGCCCACCCGCCCTGGGAGATGGCAGCTTCATCAGGGAGACGGGAAACTGAGGCTCTACCAAGCGGGTGTCTGGTCCACGGCCCCGCTGGGGGGTCCCAGACCCCACGTCCACCAGGGCGTCTCTGTCTATGACATGCAGCCTGCCTATGGCTGGGTGTCCTGGCCCTGGCCAGCTCCAGCTCCTCCCGCATGGGCTCCCTGGGCAGGGCCTGTTCTATCAGGCCCCCTCGTTGACAAGCGGACCCCTTCTAAGCCCCTTTTGTTTCCCTGCATTGTTCTCTGTGGGGCCTGCCTTTTCCTGTTTCTCCATATCCAAGAGGACTCGCGCATGGGTCTGCAGCCTGGGTCTCCGCCCCCAGCTCCCTCGCCTGGAATGCCCCATGCCTGACATCCCAAGTCCCAGTATGTACAGGGCATCCAGGGCAGGGGTGGGGATCTCAGGCTTTCCAGTCAACATAAGGTCCTGCACTGACCCCATTTCCCAGCAGAGAGTCCTGGGTGAAGTAAGTCCCCCACCCCAGCTCAGCTTCTTTTTTTCTTTCTTTTTTTTTTTTTTGAAACAAGGTCTCACTCTGTTGCCCAAGCTGGAGTGCAGTGGTGCAATCTCAGCTCACCGCAGCCTCGACCTCCCGAGCTCAAGCAATCCTCCCACCTCAGCCCACCAAACAGCTGGGACTACAAGCATTGGCCACCTGTAGTGGCAGATTTAGTTTTTGTAGAGACGGGGGTCTTACTATGTTGCCTAGGCCTGTCTCACATTCCTGGGCTCAAGTGATCCTCCCACCTTGGCCTCCCAAAGTGCTGGAATTACAGGCGTGAACCGCCTCACCCAGTCAGGTTCCTTTATCCGTACCAAGGGTGTTAGCGCCAGCCCCTGCCCCACAGCATGGGGACACTGATGTGAGGATGCGGGCACAGTGGCCTCGAGCTGTGAGGGGCCCTTGAGCCTGTGACCCGGGCGGGGGCCGGCAAGGGTCCTCGTTCTGGCTCTCAGGCTTGCTCCTCTCTGCCGCAGGCAAAGCCCTGATTCTGGCAGCTGTTCCCCTCTCCACGTGTGAGCCCAGTACCGAATCTCCCTGGGGGTCGGCTTCCTCCAGGCCCTGGTGACAACCATGGCAGGAAGGCAAGAGCAGCCACAGATGGAGACCCCTCCCTGGCAGGCGAGGCCGGGGATTTACCTGCACCACCCTCACGGCCCCCACGCATGCGCACATCAGGCTTCTCCTCATTTTCCAGATGAGGGAACTGGGCTCGGAGCGGTTGGGAAAGTCCTCTGAGGTCGTACATGGCGCACATCTGCCCGGGTAAGTGCTGGCTGCACTAAACTCTCCCAAACCCCTGCTTACAGATACTAACTATTCTTCTCCGGTTCCAAGGAGGAAACCGAGGCGCCAAGAGACAGAGCTACTTGCCCGAGGTGACATCCAGCAAAAGGCTGAGCCTGGCCTGGAGCCAGGGCCACAGGGCCACCCTCCACCCTGGCCGTGATGCCCGCTCGGGCCATGGGCACTCCTTCTGTACTGCAGGGTCCTGTATGGCCCTGGAGGGTGGCAAGGGCTTGGGAATTCTTTAGCTCTGGTGCTGGGGAATGTTCAGATTCCAGGCAAGATGATGACAGGACCACCTCTGTGTGCCGCCCACCTCGACCCACCAGGCCTGTGCTGGCCCCACCTGCTCCTTCTCGAATCTGCTGAGGGCTTGCTGCTGCTTCTCCACCAGCATGGCCAGCACAGCTCTGTCCCTCTTGCTGTCCAGGCACCTGGGGGGAGGTGGCAACATCACCGCCAATCTTGACAGCCCGTGCAAGTGGATATAGAAAGTCACAGACACAGCCAGCCCTGGTCGGCCACATCAACCTGGAATGCCCTCCCAAGGTGCGGGCACCGGGGAGGAGGCAGCCATGCGTGGACAGGCTCGGCAGCCTTGGGGTGGCCAGATGGCCCCAGCCCTGGCTGTCACTCTTCCACCCCTCACAGCCACTTTTGGACTTTTGGTCTAAAGCGACAAAGGCTGGCGGAGAGCAGCCCCTGCCATCCTGAAGACCCAGCCCAGGCCAGTGGGTCCTCTGGGGGGAGGAGGTGGGGGTCACCCACATCCACCCCCGCTCCCATCATGGGATAAACACCCTCAGCCTTGCCCGCTCAGACACTGGGTGAGGATGTTAACTGGAATCACCTTTCTGGAGACCAGTGTGGCATTATCAAGCGGCTTCCAAATGCATTCTCACTGACACGGTCATTCCACTTCTAAGATTTTGCCTTAGGCCGGGCGCAGTGGCTCAAGCCTGTAATCCCAGCACTTTGGGAGGCCGAGACGGGCGGATCACGAGGTCAGGAGATCGAGACCATCCTGGCTAACACACTGAAACCCCGTCTCTACTAAAAAATACAAAAAACTAGCCGGGCGAGGTGGCGGGCGCCTGTAGTCCCAGCTACTCGGGAGGCTGAGGCAGGAGAATGGCGTAAACCCGGGAGGCGGAGCTTGTAGTGAGCCGAGATCGCGCCACTGCACTCCAGCCTGGGCGATAGAGCGAGACTCCGTCTCAAAAAAAAAAAAAAAAAAAAAAAAAAAAAAAAAAAAAGATTTTGCCTTAAGGAAATGACCTCTCTATCTTCATTAATAATGGCAAAAAGCTGGAGACAGCCTAGAAGCCCAGAGATCCGGGACAGGCGAAGGGAGTTACAGCCCTGTCTGTGCGCCAGTGCGCCCTGTGTGTTACAGCGGTTACGTAGACACACAGAAAGGTTTTCCTGACATTTAAATTGAAAACGCAAGTTACAAAACAGCACATGCCGCCCATTTGCAACGTGGCAATAGCCATGTGTGTTTCCCCCCAGAACAGAGTATCCGCACTGGGCGCGGTGGCTCACGCCTGTAATCCCGGCTCTTTGAGAGGCGGAGGCGGGTGGATCACCTGAAGTCGGGAGTTCGAGACCAGCCTGATAAACATGGAGAAACCCCGTCTCTACTAAAAATGCAAAATACAAAATTAGCCGGGCGTGGTGGCGCATGCCTGTAATCCTAGCTACTTGGAAGGCTGAGGCAGGAGAATCGCTTGAAGGAGGCGGAGGTTGCAGTGAGCCTAGATCGCGCCATGCGCCACTACACCCCAACCAGGGCAACAAGAGCGAAACTCGGTCTCAAAAAAACAAAACAAAACAAAACAAAAAAGTATGCGCAAAGATGATTTCAGAAGTCATCTTTGGGACGATGGGGGGATTTTTTAAATTTGTGTATTGAGTACTTTACTGCCTTAGTTAAGTTTCAGCAAACACCTATTACTATTTGGACCAGTACCTTGTTTCTCAAAACGCTGTCGGGCCACGGGAGGGACCCGGACAGGGCGGGACGGGGCCACGGCGGGACGGGGGTGGGGGCGGAGCGGGGGCGGGGGCGGGGCCGGCGCTGGGCGCATGCGCTCACCCTCGCCGATGCTCCAGCCAGGCCAGCTCCGCGAGCGTTTTCTCCTGCAGCGCCATCTCTCGCAGGTGCAGCAGCGCGGCCTGGTGCTGTGCTCGCAGCTCCTCCTCCCGCAGGCTCCGCTCCAGCATCTGCGGCTTGAAGCAGCCCAAGGCTCCTAAAGCTCTGGGTTCGGCGCTTCCGGGCCTCGCGGGTTTCCACTAGGGCGGGCCGCTTCACCGCCTAGGTTCTAGATCGCTCCAGGCACCGGCCACCGCCTCCGAGAAGCCCTCTAGGACTGCCCGCCCCGCTCATCTCCCATGCCGCCCCCGCTTCCCCGACTGTGAGCTGGCGGGGCAGGCCGGATCTTCATCATCTCGGCCTCACCACCAGCCCTGATCCAGGAAGCCCAGGCCACCTGCCCTAAGATATACAACCTGGGCGGGGGCTAACCGTGCCCAAAGCACCCTGTTGAAATGACTGCCCCGCTCTGTCACCCAGGGCGGGAGGAACCGGCTTGAGTAGCCGTCAGCTGGAAGACTGCGTGACGCAATGGCCGGAAGAACCTCCCGACCCAGAACCTGCCTTGGCCCTTCTTAGTGGAGGGACAGTTGAGTCCGGGGCCCACTACCAGGGCCTTGCTGGGCCCTGAAGTTGTGCCCCTCCCCCAGGGGACCTCTCCACCTACCTGGTGGGCGGGGTTGTCTGGAGGGAAGAGCTTGGCCAGGGGCAGCTGGGAGAGGGCTCCGTCAGGGCCCCCCACCTCTGAGGAAGGAAGCACCATGGTTGGGTCATGTAGGGGGTCTAAGTGCCCCGTGTCAGGGGCCATTTCTACCGGAGGGCCTCATAAAAGTAGGAGGTCTAGGGCAGTTTAGTGCCCCCACCCCATCCCGGACACACAAGGCTTCACGAAGAATCCACAAGACCACACGGGAAGGGACCAGCAGTCTCCTGATGTGAAGTTCTAGTGTGTGACCCCACTGATTGTGGGAAAGACCAGACCAAAGGTAGAGGGAGCTCAGGGAGACAGCCCAGCTGCTCCGCTTCTACAGGAGGGGAGACTGAGGCCCACAGAGGGAGAAGGGCTGTTCTAGGTCCAGCACCAAGGAGCTGGCAGGTGACGGCAGAGCCCTGATCCCCAGCTGAAGTAGCTGACCTGCTGCCCACCGCTGCTGGCCGTGCTTCTGTTTCTGAGTGATGGAAAAAGGAGCCTATACTTAAAAGTCCTTAAGGGCTTTCCCTCCTCACAAAGAGAGCAGAAAGGACTGGATTTTGGCTTTACCATCCCATCTGCAACAACTAAAAAAATCACATAAATATACACACACATATGTGTGTTTATATAGAGAGATGTGTGTGTATATACATATATATATATTTTTTTTCACACACACACATATGAAAGAACAGTTTTCCAGGCACTGGACATGAGGCAACACAGCACAGTGATCCCTGAGAGACAGAAAACAAAGGAGGTGAGACTTGCGACGCTCACCGTTCACTGCCTGAGACAGTTGCCAGGCTACGGTGAGGGAGGGGAAGCTGGCTGAGCTGGAGGAATGCCTGGGTAGAGGAGACAGCAGAGTCTGGGGGGACCAAGGCAACTGGAGTTTGTGGGGGCAGAGTGTCAGAGAGGAGAGAGTTGCACAGAGAGAGGACCTCTGAGATGTATGAAGCGTCCTCCTGGAGTATTCAGTAGAGAACTGATGGATGAATGCATGTCAAGAAGCTACCAGATGCTGGGACAGAAGCATTCCAGGAGACTGGAAGCCTGGGAATGACACCTGTTTCCAGTAGCCAGGCTGGAGGACCTCAGCACTCCCAGGTCACTGGGCAGGCAGTGTACACAGAACTTTCTTGCCCTGACTGTTGGAAATGATTAGCCCCAGGCTGAGCATTGACGCTCAGCTATTAACACACTTTTTTTTTTTTTTTTTTTTTTTGAGACAGAGTCTCGCTCTGTCACCCAGGCTGGAGTGCAGTGGCCGGATCTCAGCTCACTGCAAGCTCCGCCTCCCGGGTTCACACCATTCTCCTGCCTCAGCCTCCCGAGTAGCTGGGACTACAGGTGCTCGCCACCTCGCCCGGCTAGTTTTTTGTATTTTTTAGTAGAGACGGGGTTTCACTGTGTTAGCCAGGATGGTCTCGATCTCCTGACCTCGTGATCCGCCCGCCTCGGCCTCCGAAAGTGCTGGAATTACAGGCATGAGCCACCGTGCCGAGCCTTAACGCACTATTAAGGCAAAGTCTGAAAGGATCAAATTACTTCCAAATGACTGCAGTCCAAAAGAAAGCTTCTTTTCTTTTTTTTTTTTTGAGACGAAGTCTCGCTCTGTCGCCCAGGCTGGAGTGCAGTGGCCGGATCTCAGCTCACAGCAAGCTCCGCCTCCCGGGTTTACGCCATTCTCCTGCCTCAGCCTCCCGAGTAGCTGGGACTACAGGCGCCCGCCACCTCGCCCGGCTAGTTTTTTGTATTTTTTAGTAGAGACGGGGTTTCACCGTGTTAGCCAGGATGGTCTCGATCTCCTGACCTCGTGATCGGCCCGTCTCGGCCTCCCAAAGTGCTGGGATTATAGGCTTGAGCCACCGTGCCCGGCCCAAAAGAAAGCTTAAGAATGTTTATAGGGGCCCGTGTGGTGGCTCACACCTGTAATCCCAGCACTTTGGGAGGCTAAGGTGGGCGGATCATGAGGTCGGGAGATGGAGACCATCCTGGCCAACATGGTGAAACCCTGTCTCTACTAAAATACAAAAAATTAGCTGGGCATGGTGACGGGCGCCTGTATTCCCAGCTACTTGGGAGGCTGAGGCAGGTGAATTGCTTGAACCTGGGAGGTGGAGGTTGCAGTGAACTGAGATTGCACCATTGCACTCCAGCCTGGTGACAGAGTGAGACTCTGTCTCAAAAGGAAAAAAAAAAAAAAAAGGCATGTTTACAAGAATACAAAAATATCTAGCACTCAGCAAGGTAAAATTCACAATGTCCGGAAGATATGCAAAGAAACCAGAAAACACAACCCATAGTGAGCAGGATAATTTATTAACCCTAACCCAGGCTCAACATGGGTGTGAGGATTGGCAGAGAAGGACATTAACAGTTTCGTAACTGTATCCCATATGTTTAAGATGTTTCGTAGAGCCACAGAGGAGATAAAACCAAAAGATCCAAATGGAATACACATTCTGATGAAAATTAAAACACTTGGCCAAGCGCAGTGGCTCACGCCTGTAATCCCAGCACTATGGGGGGTCAAGGCGGGCAGATCACGAGGTCAGGAGATCAAGACCATCCTGGCTAACGCAGTGAAATCCCATCTCTACTAAAAATACAAAAAAATTAGCCAGGTGTGGTGGCGGGTGCCTGTAGTTCCAGCTACTCGGGAGGCTGAGGTAGGAGAATGGCGTGAACCCAGGAGACGGAGCTTGCAGTGAGCTGAGATCGCACCACTGCACTCCAGCCTGGGTGACAGAGTGACAGAGTGAGACTCTGTCTCAAAAAAAAGGGAAAAAAAAGAAAGAAAATTAAAACACTTGAGATGAAAAATACACCGGATGGGATGAAGGGCAGACTAGACACTGCAGAAGGAGAGATGAACGAATTGGAAGATAATAGCAATAGAAACGATCCAAAAGGAAAAAGGGAGGAAAAAAGAATAAAATAATACAAAGAGCTTCAGTAAGATCACAACTTCAAGTGGCCTAATAGATGGGTAATTGGAGTCCCTGAAGGAGATGTGAGAGAAAGAGGAGCAAAAAGATATTTGAACAAATAGTGGCTAAACGATTTCCAAATATGAAGAAAATGAAAAATCCACAGGTCCAAGAATCTCAACAAACTCCAAGGACAAGAAATATGGACTTGGAGTCTATATTTTCCAAAAATTTTCAAAAAAAATGGAGTCCATTTTTTCAAAAAAAGAAAACATGAAAAACTACAACAAAAGACATTATAATAAAATAGCTCAAAACCAGTAACAAGGAGAAAGTCTTTTTTTTTTTTTTTTTTTTTTTTTGAGAGGGAGTCTCGCTCTGTCTCCCAGGCTGGAGTGCAGTGGTGCGATCTCAGCTCACTGCAAGCTCCGCCTCCCGGGTTCACACCATTCTCCTGCCTCAGCCTCCCGAGTAGCTGGGACTACAGGTGCCCGCCACCGTGCCTGGCTAAATTTTTTTGTATTTTTAGTAGAGATGGGGTTTCACTGTGTTAGCCAGGATGGTCTTGATCTCCTGACCTCGCAATCCACCTGCCTCAGCCTCCCAAAGTGCTGGGATTACAGGCGTGAGCCACCGCACCTGACCGAGAAAGCCTTAAAAGCAGCCAGAGAAACAAAGACGCGGTAATGTACCGATGAACCAAGAAGAATGGCAATCGATTTCTTGTCACAAACAATGCAAGCAAGAAGACAATGGAGCAATGTCTTCGAAGTACTGAAAGGGAAAGACCACATCTAGCATTCTATGTCCAGGAAAGAGTACGTCAGAAATGGAGATGAGATGAAGGTGTCCTCAGACATCCGAAAGCTAAAGACACCAGCAGACACGCACCACCAGAAATACTAAGGGAAGTCCTTCCAGCAGAAGGAAAAGGATGCCGGTTAGAAATCTACATCTACCCGAAGCAATGGAGAGCACCAGAAATGGCAAAATGACGACTATGTGCAGATGGAAATATAAACACATACATCATTTAAAACTTTTAACAAGATAATTGGCTGTTTAAACAAAATGATAACAATGTATTGCAGAGTTTATAAAACATTTAAAATAAGCCTAGGTAACATGGCAAAACCCCATCTCTATAAAAAATACAAAAATGGCCGGGCACGGTGGCTCATGCCTGTAATCCCAGCACTTTGGGAGATTGAGGCAGGTGGATCACCTGAGGTCAGGAGTTCGAGACCAGCCTAGCCAACATAGTGAAATCCTGTCTCTACTAAAAATACAAAAATTAGCCAGGTATGGTGAAGTGTACCTGTAATCCCAGCTACTCAGGAGGCTGAGGCAAGAGAATTGCTTGGACCTGCAAGGTGGAGATTGCAGTGAGCCGAGATTGCACCATTGCACTCCAGCCTGGGCAACAAGAGCAAAACTCCATCTCAAAAAAAAAAAAAAAATTAGCTTGGGGTGATGGTGCATGCCTGAGGTCCCAGCGACTTGGGAGGCTGAGGAAAGAGGATTGCTTGAGCCCAGAAGGCAGAGGTTGCAGTGAGCCGAGATCTCACCACTGCACTCCAGCGTGGGTGACACAGTGAGACCCCCATTCTCAAAAAACAAACAAAACATTTAAAATAAAATTCATGACAACAACCACCTAATGACCAGGAAAGAAGAACTGGCCTTGTACTATAAGTGAAGTGGTCGACTGTGTATACTATCATAAATCCTAAAGCAGCCACTAAAATTACAGAGTTACAGCTCCTGAGCCAACAATGGAGATAAAATGGAATCATAAAAAACATTGCTTAATCCAAAAGGAGGCAGATAGTAAGTGGAAGAAGAAAATAAAGGGACAGATAGAACAAAAGAAGAATAACCAGGTGAAACCCTAACCGCATCCGTCATCACGTTCAATGTGAATAGTGTAAGCACCCCAATTAAAAGGCAGAGATTACCAGACTGATTTTTTTAAAGCAAGATCCAACTCTATGCTGCCTGTAAGAAACACACTTGAAACACAAAGATGCAAATAAATGGAAAGTAAAAGGATAACAATGGAGATACCGCGAAACACCAGTTGAAGGAGAGCTGGAGTGGCTGTATTAATATCAGACAAAGTAGCCTTTGAAGTGAAGGATACTGCTGCGGGTAAGAGGATTATTGCATAATGACAGAGGGGTCAGTTCATCAAAAGCGCATAATAATCCCGAGTGTTTATGGGCCTGATGTCAGAGCTTCAGAATACGTGAAGTGAAACCTGTTAGAACTGCAAGGAGAACTCGGCAAATCGCAATGTGATATTTCAACACCCATCTCTTACTCATCGATAGGAATGTTAGGCAGAAAATCCACCAAGATGCAGTAGATTTGAAGAGCACGATCCACCAACTTGATCTAAGTGATACTGCAGGACGCTACCCCCAGCAACAACAGAACCCACTGATGTTTTAAAGGAGCACCCACTGATGTAGACCATATTCCAGCTAAAACCCGAGTCTGGACATTATGAGGTCCACACGAATGTGTTTTGTGAACACAATGAAGTTAAACTAGGAATACGCAGCAGGTGCCAAGCCTGGAGATGGGGCGACTGTGGCCAGCTGGGAAGTCACCGCATCTGCCATGATCATACTGAGGGCTAAAATCACCTTGTGAGGCTGAGGCAGGAGAATGGCGTGGACCCGGGAGGCGGAGCTTGCAGTGAGCTGAGATCCGGCCACTGCACTCCAGCCTGGGAGACAGAGCGAGACTCTGTCTCAAAAAAAAAAAAAAATCACCTTGTGGTGGTCTCGCTGCGCCATCCCTACAACCTGCACGCAGACCCTTCCTTATTTGCTGACACACATCACACGGGAGGGGAGTCTGGACCAGCTTTTCTGCACAGCCCGCGCTGGGGAGGCTGTGCAGAGACCTTTCCCACCAGGGAAAGCCACTCAAAGGAATAGAAGTGGGCGTATCAGCAGGCCTGGAACCAGGGAAGGGTTCCTGTTCCCAAAGACACCGAGACAGGTTGTACCCAGGCTTCCAGGAGATGGCAGCCACCTGGAGGCCAGCCTGGGGGTCACGCCAGCTCAGAGCTGAGACCCTCTGTCCCAGAGCAAGGCCAACAGCAGCCTGTGCTCAGTCACCTGGCGGAAGTCCCGGAGGACCGAGGTGCCACACTCACCCTCCCTGGGCTGCGGACCTCCCTTCCGGTCAGGCTGGTCCCCCAGCTCTAGGGAAGCTTTCCTGCTGAGATCCTGACACAGCTCCCCCGGGCTGGGTGGGTGGAGACAGTGTCCGCCAGCCGTCTAACCCAGTTCCCCGGGCTCAAGGGATGCCAGGGGCTAGGGCTGCCCAAAGGTCAGTCACTGAGTGCTGGAGTCAGACAGACCTGACTGCAGAACCCAGCTCCACTCTGCATGGCCTTGGGCAGCCACTGTAGCCCTCTGGGCCTCCTTGCTGTGTACCTGCCTCGGTTCCCCCCTTTGGGGTTCACACTGGCTGAGGGCTCTGCCTGCCTTCAGGCCTGGGTGGGGTTTTGAAGACACTGTCACCTGCAGAGGCTGGCTTGGCCACCACACTCTCTGGTCTGTCCTCGGGACCCTGGGAGGATGTGGCAGCATCTGTGTCCAGAGGCGGGTGTGACCTACAGGTGAGGACACGCCCAGGAGACTTGGCACCAGCGCCCGCAGTGCCCGCCCCACTACCTGTGCCCAGAGACTCCCCAATCTGCATTTCCACGTTGGGAGGGGGTGGCCAGCCCCAGCCCCCGGCCTCACCTGGGTGTGGCCGTCCCTGTGCTCTGAGAGGCTGTGGTCGGCTCTTGGTCCTTGCAAATTGGAGGCTGCTCCAGCTTCAATGCCTCCTCTGGCCCGGTCTGGGTCGAGTGTCTCTCCATCAGCTGCTGTGAGGAGTGGGAGGCGTGTTGTGGAGAACGCAGGAGGCGGCTCCACAACGGTGGGCATTGGGTCAGGACGGTCAGGCCAAGCTCGGTCCCAAGGAGGAGCCTGAAGCTGGGCAAGTCTCCAACCTCAGGGGCCTCTCTGTCCATCTTGCCAGCGGGGCTGACGGTCCCCTCCTGCCTCCCGGAGAGGCCACTGCAGGGAAGCAGGGGTGGCTGGTGCCCAGCCAGGGCTGGAGGGTGTGGGAGCTGGGGGGCCCGCTGCACAGAGATGGGTGGGAAGGAAGCCCCAGCTCCGGTCCCGGCTGGGGGTGCTGGGAGGGCAGGCACAGGAGGGGAGCAAAGCCTGTGATGCCGGGAGCAGGGAGAGAACAGGCAGGGATGCGGGGCAGGGTGTCAGTGCTGCTGTGGGTCTGAGGCCGCCTGTATGTGTACTCCCACACGTGCACACACACACACACACACACGTGCATGCACACACTTCCATCACTCTCCTGGAGATGCCCCCAACATGTACCGTGGATGTACTTCCCACCATCGGCCCCTGAACCAAACACAGAAGACAGGTCCACCTCCCAGAAGGTTATCTCTTCCAGCCAGGTCATAGCTGTCAGCCGCCCGGTCAATGCCCTGCCAGGGTCACCGTTCCTAGGCCTGGGTGACATTGTCACCTCATGGGGCAGGTGCTGAACCACCCCGGACAGCGAGAGCTGCCCATCGGAGGGGACACTATTGGCGCAGGACGGCCGTGCAGAGGCGGCTCAGGAGACACTAAGCCCCTTCCTTTCTGGCCAGAGACCTGCCTGGGGTGTAAGCACCACACGCGCGTTGGGTCGTAGGCGCCCATGGAGAGCCCAGGGCTCAGGGGCCTACCAAGCCTGGGACACGGACAGGTGGGAGGCCCCAATGGCCATCTGTGACCCAGATCTGGTTCCCACTGAGGCACCCCCAGGACACAAGTGGCCGAAACCTCCTGTATCTGGACAGAGACTTTGCTTTAAAGGGAGCTCCAGCCTCTGGCTCGCTTCCTCTCGGCGAGGGGTGCCCACTGTTCCCGTGGAAGTCTCCGTACTCCTTCCCAGTGTGACTGACCTTCCCACCCAACCTCCTGCAGAGACAGGGGCTCCCCCCGTGGCAAGCGGCCGCTACCTCCAGCTGCCTCCTGAAGAGCAGCCCATCCAGAGTCTGCTGCGTCTCCCAGGCCTCCAGCTCTGCCCGCCGCCGCAGGAGGGCCAATGCCCGCTTCTGCTGGTCCAGCTGCAGAGAGAACCCAAGCTCACGGTTCCTGCTGCCCCCAGCCAGGGAGGGTGGGCCCCTTCCTCGGGGGTGACCCCGAGGAATCCTATGTCTGGGCAGGACCCCTCCCTCCAGCCCACCAACTTTCTCTCCCTGCCAGGGGCTTCCCCATCAGCCCGGGAAGCCCCTCCGTCTGTTCCTGCCACCTGCATGGTCCCCTCCCTCTCACCCGGCCACCCTGTTTCTAAATTCTATAGTCTGTGCATTAGAGCCTCTTCCACTTGGCCTCTGGGAGACAGAGGCTGCCCCCGGCTCACCACCCAGCAGAAAGGGGACCCAGCTGTCGTCGGCCTGGGGCAAACCTTCAGAGAATCCAGAAAGCTGGAGGTCTTCCGCTGGGTGTTGGGAAGGTGTCTCGCACACGGGTCCTCCTGCTGACCTGTGGAACAATGGAGTGGGGCAGCTGAGTGGCCCAGGCCACTCTCCAGGCCTCCCCTCGCCGCTGCCTCGGCGCACCATGGCACAGCGGGTTAACACAGCCTCTGCACCTGCAGGGAAACTGAGGCATGGAGGCCAGGAGTGAAGGCGGCCTGACTCCTGAGCCCAGCTGGCATCAACTCCATCAAGAGCAGCCCCTGCCCTGCATGTCGAGGAAGGGCTGGGAGGGCTGCAGCCCCATGGAAGGACACAGAGACCCGCTGCATCTCCTCGTCCCCACTAAGGCTGGCTCTGCCTGACCCCGGCCAGGACCAACGCCCGGATGGATGGCAGGAGTCTGTGGGGAGGGCGGAGGCCCAGGCCCAGCATATGGGCTTTGCCCCCAGACAGACCGGGTCCATCAAGCATTTGCCATGTGACCTTGAACAAATCACTTGTCAGTCAGAGCCCAGTGGGGACACAGAGGTTCCTCCTTCCCTTGTGCGAGGGTCCAAGGAGATGGTTTGGTACAGGCTGGCTGTGCACTCAGCAGGTAGAAGCTGCTGCTGACGGTGTGGACAGGGTGGGAGGGTGATGACAGGGTGGGTGTGAACAGGGTGGGTGGGTGCTGACAGAGTGGGTGGGTGCTGAGGGGGTAAATGGGTACAGACAGGGTGGGTGGGTGCTCTCGGGGGGTAGGTGCTGAGGTGGTGGGTGGGTGGTGACGGGGTGGGCGAGTGCTGAGGGGGTGGGTGGGTGCTGAGGGGGTGGGTGGGTGCTGATGTAAGCACTGGCACAAGTCCTGGGCTCTCCTTGGAATTTCTGGGATTGGTCCAGAGCGTGGGCATGAAAACCTCAGCCTCCTCCTTGGATAGTGAAGTCCCCAGTAGCAGCGGAGGGGGCTTCTCTTTCTCCTTGGTGGCCCCGAGTCCCAGCTCTGACTCTGCACGCTGTTGGAGCTCCTGGCCCCACGGAGGCTGCCACCAGGAGGCGCTGCAGGCAATGGGGTCTGCAGATGGTGGGGCCTCGTGACGGCTCTCGATGAGTGCCCCAGTCACTGTCGCCTAGTGTACGGACGGAGCCAAGACCAGGATCCCCACTCCGATTGCCCCAAGACCGGCGGCTCCTCCAGTGGACTGCTCGCCTTCCCGGAACGGAGCAGCTCAGCCGTGAACCACACAGCTCAGCCGGTCCCTGGGCGTTTCCACAGCAGCAGAGGACGCCCCAAAGCACCGAGACAGGGCGAGCAGCAGGGGCGCCGGCCACATGGCGTGCACTGAGCATTCGCGGTCACCCCTATGGCCCCATCTAACTGGTGATGATGGAAAGTGGAGACACTCTTACACTTCTTGGTTTTGGTTCAGGCATCTGTTCTGAGCTGAAATTCCTTTTTCGCCAAGGGGAGAAACCATCCTTTGCTTTTGTCTCATGGCCCTGAGAGAGGCTGAAGCCAGCGAAGGGGCCCCAGACCCACCAAATGCCCCTCCGGCTCCTGCGAGCCCCACAGTCCCGCGGCCCCCAAGATCTCCCAGCTGTGGCCTGAGGAGGGGGAGTCCTGGTCATCACCGGCCACATCAGCACCCAACAGTTCAGGGGACATGGCGGGACGTGAGCTGTGTTTGTTCCTGAGCTCTGAGCAGTGACCCAGGAGAAAGCGAGCCGTCCCCGAGCTGGGCATGGCCCTGGCTGGACAGAGACTGCAGGAGTCACCCCAATGAGTGCCCTGACTCCTCTAGAATGGGTGAGAGCCCCAAAAAGTCTAGCTCCATGTGCCACCCCAAAGTCCCTGGTAGCTGTGAAGATGCAATGGGACAGTTTGACAGATCTTGGCACACAGCAGCTGCCGTCACTGCTGGTGGTGATGATGTTAACTAGCTACATTCTCAGTCATGTGGCTTGGGTCCTGGGGAGTCACAGCCTCAAACCAGAATGAGGCTGACAGGACCCATGCCCTCGGTGGGGGCTGTGGAGTTTGAGAGCCAGGGCCCTGCTGTCCAACATGGCGGCTGGCAGCCACACCCACCATTTACATTTAAACTTAAATTCACAAAAAATAAAATGTAAAGTGCCACTCTTCAGTCACACTAGCCACATTTTCGTGGCTTGACGGCCACATGTGACTGGTGGCTACCATATTGGACAACTCAGAATCTGGAACATTTCCCT